TACTATTAAGTATCTGGGCTTTTTTTTGTCTGTCAACTGTCAATGAAACTTAAGTCTACTTTTTTATACTAATATTTCTACTATACTAAATATTTTTTTAATTTAATTATATAGTGCATCTAAGAACATAGAATACTAAAACGTAAAAAGCAGATGATGACCTATAACTGTCATAATTATTCTGGCTTTCTAACTATGCAATAAGAGCCATTAAAAATTCAGCTAAGATGTTTTTCCCATTGAACTGGAGGCAAAATAGAGAATTCTTTGTACAGAAAACATTGCAATATAATACATCATTTGATAGATTAAAACTTTGACTTTCTATTGGTTATTAATAATAGTATTAAGTCAGAGGAAACTGTTGGCAATTTATGAAAGAAAGGATGTAATAGGTTGGCATGGCAAATGTTTTTTTCTTTTCTAGTTTATGGCTTCATAAACAAATAAGACTGAATGCTTTAAAAATTATGCTTTGCCTGAGTAATAAATATATTATAATGAATAATTTATGTTAAATTCTGGAGTTCTTGAAAGGGGGGTAAATATATTAGAAAAGAGGGAAGACCTAGAGAGCATATGTTACAATTCTCATACTAGAGAAGATTGAGGAGCTTTTTAAATATTTCCTTCTAAAATTAGGAACTTAAAACTTGTATAATTAAAATTTCATTTATTAACTATGTTTTGATACCAAGTTTATTCGTGTACCATGGTAATAAAGTAATTTCATTAAAATTTGAATGTAACTCTAAAAAAAGTATTGACATGTACTTTGACTTGCCCATGGCAAGAGGGTTAATATACACCTACCTGCTGCCTAATGTGTGTGATCTTATTCAGGATCCCTTTCTTTGCACTGATGTCTTCTGGGCCCATTCACATCAGATTCGTCTCACTGCTTGTCATGTACTGGGAACTAGGAACCTGGTGGTGGACCATTTTACCAGTGAAGTAGTCTCTACACCCTCAGGACTTTCATTGGGTTTGTTCTCAGTTGGGCATGCCTTTCATAGATGACTTTGCCACCCCCTCTCAACTTCAAGCGTTCTCTCTTTTAATCTCTGGTTCCTCATCCTTTGGCTCTAGCTATCAATGCTGTCAGTCATGACTTGTCTCATTTTTTTTCTATATGCATATCTTCCTCTCCTCCCTCTGGTCCTCACCTTGATATATGACAAACCTTGTCGAGTCCTATTTGTGACATATCTTTGGCCAACTCAACCTTGTTTTCCTCTGATTCCTCACTTAGCACCCAAACTCCCCTTTTTCTGTCTAATATCTTCTCTCTGTTGCTTCAACCTCACACATCTCTGTTTCATCAAAGGACATCTTCCCTTCATCTTCTTGTATGGGATTTGTGTGGTCCATTGCCTGTCGAGCTGGACTATCTGATTACTGTCTGATTTTGTAGCCTTTTTCTTCTCACATTCCTCTTGCCCTTCCACTTTAACTGTATATCAACATAAATGGCATGTCTATTATGGTTAGTCCATCTGCCACTTCTTCATCCTGGCCCTCCCACTGTTAAACAACATTCTGCATTTTGTACTTGGTTGTTCAAACAAGGTTTGTCAGCCTCTACCTTATCAGCAGCGTTATCCACAACATTTCACCCTTTCCTGGTACATGGTGCTTTCTTTCCATGTACTCTTACACTTTTTCCTTCTTCACCAAACTCTTGCCCAACTCCCATACCAGATGGATCTTAATGTAGTTTTGCATGCTTTCATGTATGACCTGTTTGATCTATTAGCTTCTTGCCTCTCATACCACCTTTGATCTCAAAACGCATTTCTTCCTCCTCACCTATGGTTGCCATAATTCAGACATCTATGAAGTTGGTTATTCTTGCTCTCTTTCCCACTGCACATATATTCTCCTCTACCCAGACTGTCGCTCAGGAAGGTGACCAAATTTTCTTTCCTATATCCCTTCCTTCTATTTCTCACCTCTGCTATCATTCAGACCTATATCAGGTACTGTGTTCTGCTCAAGATGTTTGATGTTACTTATCACACACTTCTCCCGTTTGGGATCTCTGTCATTGTTTGTTTATACCATCGGACCACACATTTTCCAGGAACCCTCTCTTGCAGGCTCTGTTGTCTTTCTTCCCATTTCTGCCAGCTTTTGGACGAGATCCTCCAAATGAGCACATGAATGACTCCCCACACTTTCATCTCTCATTATCTATATCAGCTGGCTATTTTTTTTTGTCTCCTGCTGATATTTGACTTCCATCAGTTGCCATTCTTTAATCAATCCATCATCTTTGAGAAGAGTAAGTTCATTTCCTTTTTCAGCTTTACATTTATTGGGATCTCACTAGGTGATTGGTGTTGTCTCCCAGGATATGCTTATTTCCAAGAATCCATGTCAATCCAGGATAACAGAAAGTGCTCAAACCATCATCATTGGCTCTACTAGTTCCCACTGCAAGATGGAGTGTTCCACAAGACCACTAGAGGTATTCTTGTGGTTGTATTACTTGCTCATTTGTGTGATCCAAGCCAAACAAATTCTATGGACTATCATGGAAAAAGTCAGTACTGGAGAAGTATTCTGCCCACTTTTTTGACTCACTCTTGCCAGCTTTTAAAATAGGTTATTACAGTCACTCATTGCACTGTCCCCAGTAAAATATTCTTCCGGCTGGTGGTCTGATGGGAATCCTGGCACTTTTTTGGGTCTCTCCAATGCAAATTCTTCCTCCTTTTTTCTTTGAGTGGAGAGCAGGAGATCTTTGACACTAACTAGTTTCTAGTTGCTGGCCCATGGAGAATACTCACCAGTGGAGCTTAGCACAATACAATTAGAAGTGAGGCAGGTGACACTTATAGTGTAGTACAGATTGCTCCTCAAAAAGTATGTCACAAAATTAATGTGCCATCCTCCTGCAGGCAGATACTGTTTGGTAAAGTTGAGGTGGCATATGTCATATGGTCTGATCATGCCCCAACCTCACTACTCAAACATATATATTTGTTCAATGACCTCTTATGTGTAAGTGTTTGGATGGTCATGTTCTTATTCTGTCTGTCCCTGCAGCTCATTTGCCTTTCCTCCCTTATATTCTAGGCAAAGTGTATACCCTGATCAAGGTAAGATGTGGTCTCCCACAGGTGTGTCTGTCCCAATGGGAGCTCCTGCTATTGGGTGTCACACTCCATGGGATTCCCTTTGGGTGCTTTCTGAAGGGAGTTCATCTTTGTAAATTTTTTCACCAGCCCCTTCATCATTTCAGGGTGAGATTCTAGCATTTCTGTGTGCAAAAGTGAGTTATCATTCAGAAGTTAACACTTTCCTAATCTGAAAGTGTATTTATTATAGATACCTCCTCACACATTCCCACCCATTCTCCCCACTTCTGATACATATTTTTTGTTTTGCCTCATCAAAGAGTGATGTTATCACAAATTCAAATGCATAGAGGGAGTTACTACACATGGAAGTTGTGTCACCCTCCTATTTGTGAAGGGCTTTTGTCACATGATGACATCATAATGCACCAGCACAGTTCATGTTAAACACGTGAATTTAGGTGGGCATTATGTCAAGGCTAGTAGCATGTAAATTTTATAGACAAATGCACAAGGAAGATAGCATTTGTATGTGTTGAGATGATTATCTATTGAAAATAAATTTTCAGATTAGGAAAATGTTAACTTTAACATGAAGAATTGATCCCAGTTAAGATAAGATTAAATTCATACTAATTTATAAAAATTGTGAAAATCAAACTGATTAATACCAAAGAATCTGATGGATTTAGGGCCATATTGGAGAAACACATTTGTGTCACATTTGAAAATGAACAAAATTACATTCAATATATCTTAAATGTGAAGTGTTTGTAATCAGTTCTGTTATCTGTCAGGTCTTCCTCCCGTAGTCAAGCTGGTTGATAAAGAAACTTTGCTAAAAGAAAGAGAGATGAAACTAAAGGTAAGAGTTTCAGTGAGTTTGTCTCATCAAATGTCTTATAAAAATTAAAACAATAACTTTCAAGATTTCACTTTGACACCAATAGCTGTTTTGGTACCAGTGTTTTTAAGGCAATTTTGAAGCATTTATGTAATTAAAAGACCGATGTGTATCAATAAGTCCATGTGTGTATGTGTGCTCGCTCACCTGAACACCCAATATTCTTATTGGTTAATTATATAGTGGTACTTTTACATTTATATGAGTGCATAAGTGAACAAAGTGTAACATGTATTGTTCTATACAAATGCAAAACTATTATGGTTATAATATTAACTTTAAAGATAATTACTTTAGTAACATAAACATGCTAGGAAACACATTAAGTTAATTCGTTATCATTCCGTAACTTATAACTAATGAAAAACCATTACATCTCAATACAAATTCCAACAGGCACCTAGAAATCGACAGTTAGGCCTAAAGTTTGAATACGCTTCATATGCAAAGCAAGAGTTTTCCTGCTATATAATCTGTGGGAGTTAGCTATAACAGTCACTGCCACATCTTCATTCAGTTTTGATGCTCTACAGCTAACAGATTGCAGGAAAGAAAATAATTACAGGTTTCAGGTGATATACAAATGTGATTTAGATACATATACAGACAAGAAATTTACAAAAAAAAAACACATGGTGATTATTGGTTTTTACACTTCTTGATACCATAATTTTAGAAATTCACTATTTTATAACTATTATATGTTTTCAAGTATCTCAATATAGGTGCTAAAAAATTGATAATTAGGTCTAAAGTTTAAATATGCTTTGTACTCAAAGCACAAATTTACCTGCTAGGGGAATAAAATGTTAAACCACTTTAATTAATGGTGGTAATGGATCCAATGCTTTGCTAATACTTTAAGGGAGAGTAAAATATGGAAGGAAAAATAAATAAAATAGAAACAAATGAAGACAATTGATTTTTACAGTTTTTGATATGATAATTTTAAAAATTTACTGTATATATAATTAAACGAACACTGTGTGTTAGTCAGTCTGTTTATGTATGCATACTCACTCACCTGGAAACCCTATTCTTATTGGCTAATTGTATAATGATACTTTTACGTTTACAAGTGCAAAAGTGAACAAAAGTATAACGTGCATTGTTCTATACGAGTGCAAAACTATGATGTTTATAACATTAATTTGAAAGACAGTATCTGCAGTAACATGAACAAATGCATAAGGAAACACATAGAGTTAATTCATTACCTTTCCATGGCTTGTAAGTAATAGAATACCATTACATCTCAATACAAATTCCAACAGGTGCCTAAAAATCAACAGCTAGGCTTAAAGTTTAAATATGCTTCATACACAAAATGCAAGTTTACCTGCTAGGGGAATAAAATATTACACAATTTCCCTTATTGGTGGAAGTGGATCCAATGCTATGCTAACACTATAAGGAAGAGTATGTCAACATTCAAGTTAATGGTGCAGGCAAATATTTTATATAAAAAGCTAATTCATGTTGTATAATTTAATATAGTGAAATAATTCCTTAATAATGTTAGGATGATGATGAAGTAGCCTTTATGACCTTGTGCTTAGTTTTGTTGTGTACTGTGTTTGTTATGCATAGTTACATAAACATTGGGTTTGCTTTGATTCTCCAGTCTGCTAAGTTGGACTCTGTGATAAGTTTTATCCACATTATCAAAACAGTTAATATAAATATCCAAAAACTTATTTAATATTTCACTTTAATGTTCTTCTAACCAGATTTTTAACTTATTTAAGCATTATTCATTATGTATTGACTTTTATGGTAGGCAGAAGAGGAAAAGCGCTTGGAAAAAGAAAGGAAAAAACAACAACAGTTAGAAGCTCAAGCAGCCAAAGATGCTCAGCGAAAAATTCCTCCTTGGGAACTATTCAAATTAGAAACTGATAAATATTCCAAGTTTGATGAAAAGGTACAGAACAGTTTTCTATCTTTTTGCTAAAATGTGAATGAAGTACATTTTGTTGAAGTGTTATGAGTATTCGAAATGATCAAATATTTTCATTTGAATCTACTTTGTCATCTTTTATCTTGATGCTCATTTAAAGATTTCTTTGTCAGCTATAGTTTGAAAAATGGGAGCCTTATTAAATTTGTGTTCCTTATTATTACTATTTTTGATTTTCCTAACCGTTGTTTAATTAAATTATGATTAAATCAACTCTCAAGAAAATAATCAACTAATCAGAATTAGTGTCCAAGTAATTAATATATTGCTAACATTTGTTTTGTTTTTAAGCACAAAACTATATAATGGGCTATCTGTGCCCTGCCCAACTTTAGCCTTATAATTTTTCTTTTTTTTTTAGTCTTTCATGATTTGAGGGTCTTGGGTTTAATTCCCATTGCCATTTAACTTACTCATCCTGTCTTTATTATGATGCAGCTACTTAGGCTATCTGTCACTGTCATTAATTTTTATCTTATTTTTTTTAACTGCTGGCTAGAGGGAAAGCAACTGGCTGGCAGCATCTACCAGGAACACTTTACTAATCAATTAATTAAATCTAATAAGTTAATGGGACTGTCAATTAATCAGTTAGCGAATACCAATAATCACCTAGCTATAGCTGTATATGTATAATTTCAAATGAAATGGCACATTATGTAATGATTTAATTTACACATGTATAATTTCACATTTGATACCATGTTTTGTAAGTTTTAATATGATGTGGGTGTATAATCTTGTATTAGATAGCACACTGTATAAATTTTAATAAGATGAACATGTATAATTTCACATTAAATAGCAAAACCTCTGTAATGAGAAATTCATAGTGTCAATGACCAGTAAACATCAGTATTGAAAGTATCCCAATGTAGATGTTTAAGATATTATTGCAGCCAAAGAGTATAGGCATTAGCCAGTTAAGGTATTAGGTCATCAAGAAATTAATGTCGCATTTTGAAACATTTTCATTAACCACCGCACAAAAACTTAAATCACGTGTAATAGTTAAATGAATCTCCTAAATGTCATGTTAGTGTAGCCTATATAATGTACAAAGTTTAGTATACTCTAA